TTCTGGCCAGAGCAATCAGGCAAGAAAAAGAAATAAAGGGTATTAATTAGGAAAAGAGGAAGTCAAATTGTCTTTATTTGCAGATGACATGATTGTATATTTAGAAGACCAAATCATCTCAGCTCCAAATCTCCTTAAACTGATAAGCAACTTCAGTAAAGTTTCAGGATACAAAATCAATGTGCAAAAATCGCAAGCATTCCTGTACACCAATAATAAGGAGCCAAATAATGAGTGAACTCCCATTCACAATTACTACCAAGAGAATAAAATACCTAAGAATACAACTTACGATGGTTGTAAAGGATCTCTTCAAGGAGAACTATCAATCACTGCTCAAGGACATAAAAGAGAACACTAACAAATGGAAAATATTCCATGCTCAGGGATAAAAAAAATCAATTTTGTGAAAATGGCCATACTGCCCAAAGTAATTTGTAGATTCAATACTATCTCCATCAAGCTACCACTGACTTTCCTCACAAAATAAGAAAAAGCTACTTTAAATTTCGTATGTAACCAAAAAAAAAAGCCCATATAGCCAAGACAATCCTAAGCAAAAAGAACAAACCAGGAGGCATCATACTACCTGACTTCAAACTATACAAGACTACAGTAACAGAAACTGACCAATGAACAGAATAGAGGCCTCAGAAATAATGCCACACATCTACAACCATCCAATCTTTGACCAACCTGACAATAACAAGCAATGAGGAAAGGATTCCCTGTTTAATAAATGATGTTGGGAAAACTCTCTAGCCATATGCAGAAAACTGACACTGGACGCCTTCCTTACACCTTATACAAAAGTTAAATGGATTAAAGAATTAAATGTAAGACATAACACCACAAAACCCTAGAAGAAAACCTAGTCAATATCATTCAGGAAATAGGTATGGGTAAAGACTTCATGACTAAAATGCCAAAAGCAATGGCAACAAAAGCCTAAATTGACAAATGGAATCTAATTAAGTTAAAGTGCACAGCAAAAGAAACTGTCATTAAACAGGCAAGATACAGGATGGGAAAAAAAAAAATTGCAATCTTATCCATCTAACAAAAGGCTAATATCCAGAATCAACAAAGTGCTTAAACAAATTTACAAGAAAAAAAACAGCCCAATCAAAAAATGGGCAAAGGATATAAACAGACACTTCTCAAAAGAAGATAATTATGTGGCCAGCAAATAAATGAAAAAAAGTTCATGATCACTGGTCATTAGAGAAGTGCAAATCAAAACCACAATGAGATACCATATCATGCCAGTTACAATCACTCTCATTAAAAAGTCAGGAAACAACAGATGCTGGAGAAATCAGCAATGGTTTTACACTGTTGGTGGAAGTGTAAATTAGTTCAATTATTGTGGAAGACAGTGTGGCGATTCCTCAAGGATGTAGAACCAAAAATACTATTTGACCCAGCAATCTCATTACTGTCTATGTACCCAAAGGATTATCATTTTGCTATAAACATACATGCACAGGTATATTTATTGCAGCACTGTTTACAATAGCAAAGACTTGCAACCCACACAAATACCCATCAGTGATGACTGGATAAGGAAAATGTAGCACATATACACCATAGAATACTATGCAATCATAAAAATGAATGAGTTCATGTCCTTTGCAGGAACATGGATCAATGTGGAAACCATCATTCTCAACAAAGTGATAGAACAACAGAAAACCAAACACTACATGTTTTCACTCATAAGTGGGAGTTGAACAATGAGAACACATGGGCATAGGGAGGGGAACATCACACACTGGGACCTGTCAGGGGTTTCGTGGCTAGGGGAGGGATAGCATTAGGAGAAATACCTAATGTAGACGATGGGTTGATGGGTGCAGCAAACCACCATGGCATGTGTATAGCTATGTACACATACACGTGCACATTCTGCACATGTATCACAAAACTTAAAGTATAATAAAAATAAGTCAACACATAAATAAAATTTTTAAAGTGAGTTGGCAATTAAATAAAATTGTATACATTTATTTAGAGTCTACACTGGAATACACTCACATTGTGTTCTATGACCTAGAAGTTTTAAATATCTTAGAGTAGACTCATATTTTTTAAATTGTGATAGACAAGCAGGTAGGAGATTTTTGTCAAATCAAAATCATCCTATAGACATATCTTCCCTGTGACACTTGCAAAGCTGAAGTGCCAGATTTGGGTCTTTAATATTGAGATGTATACTTCACATTTCACCATCTCATTATTTTGACAGCATGTCTGGTAGAGCTGAAATACACCAGATGTTACAAGAGTTATAAATATTGGCAGCATAAGCCTCTAAACACATAACTCTAGAAAACTTCCTTGGATTACAATAGTCTGAGGATTTCAGGCAGTTATGACTCATCAATTAGAGATTTTGCTTTATAGGAAAACAAGGCACCAGTATGGTATTGCTATTTTGAGTGGATCTCATTGTAAGCCAATGGCTATTCATAATTAAACATTTATGTATATGCATATACATATGTAAATGCACATATATAAATACGTATTTACATATATTAAATATTTATGTATATGTATACACACATATAGATAAATATATAATACACCTTTGTGTGTAGTATGTAAGCAAACTTCACACTGAATATTGAACTCCTATGAGCATAGCACAGCTTTTCAGATTTCAGCTCTGTAATAGCTGACATTGTTCATGCATTTTATTTGCTTCAAACAATGCAAGACCTACTAAAATGGTAAGGCATTGAATTTCCTTTGGTTTCTATCTCTTCCCCATGGATGCCTCCATCCCATGTTTTTGCTGTTACATCCTGACTCTTCTGAAAATGCTGGTGGTGTAGTGCCAGCTCTCTCGTCCATTTTATCCAAAGATTGCTCTATCCAAGGAAGCCTTCTACAAGCAGTTCACATTTTTCCCAGATATCCTTCTCTCCACATCATAACATGAAGATAGTGTGATGTGACTTTTTTAGCCTGGTAACCCATCACCCAGTTTGTGTACAAGTATCAGATTCTCTGGGCTAACTGTCCTGATTCTGATTATGGAAGAGCACTGCATTCCCCTTCACTGTATTTCTGACTTTACTTCTCCATTGTAATTTCTTGTAAAATTCTATGGGGTTAGTAAGCATCTGTTCCTTTGTGAAGTCTTTTTTCCACTTTCTACACTCCCCTCAAGGGTAGGAATGTTGGTTTCTACTGTTCTGTAGCACACCACTTAGCACCTTAGCATAGTACAGGCAGTGGGCTTGCTCCTTAAATATCTGCTAAGTGAAGAGACAGAATCTACGCGAGTGACTAACATACTGAGGATTATTTTTTGAAAACGCTGAAGAAAACTTATATATAACTGTGTCAGGAGCTCAGCTGAGCTGGGGAGAGCTGAAATCTGATGTTCAAGTAGCCAATCAAAGCAACAAGCCCAAAATAAAAGTAACAATCAAATCTTTAATTTCTGATTGAGATATTATAAGCCAGAGGCTAGTACCAGAGATTGTGCTGACTCCCGCTCCAGCCCCACTCCTGTTCCATTTTGTCTCCATGGACCCATGCACCAGTGGAAGGTCAGGGGGATCATCACGGACAAGGGGGTCATCTCAGCGCCCAGGGAGGTGCCAAGAAAAGATTGCAGTTTTACGGACCTTGGGATAAGGATAGAGAGACGTGAAGGGCAATGAGTGGAAAAGTACTGAGTTAGAGTGAGGAAAAGTGTCTTCAACATTTCCTCTTCCTTACTCCCATTTTGTAAAGAAGTCTTTGGAGACCCCAAACAAAGAGACCTAGGTCTGGTGGTGTCTGGGCTGAAAGTGCAAGTATGTGTATAGGCAGACACAGAGGGACTTGAGTGTTTGACTGCAACTCCCCTTAGAGACTGTAAGGCATGGTCTGTGCACCATGTCTGGCACGGGGATGAGGAATGCAGGATTACCCCATCAGGTCTGTCAGTTAAATAAAGCCTTTGTAATTGTCTATGACCAGAGCTGAAACATCATCTACATATTTTTTAACCAGGAGCCATAGTTCTCAAACTTAAAGTAAATCATGTGAAGTCTGCAAATATTAATTGTGATCTCCATGTAGTGCAATAAATCATTAAAATTGGTCGGGCACCGTGTCTCACACCTATAATCCCAGCACTTTGAAAGAGGGAGACGGGTGAATCTCTTGAGCCCAGAAGTTTGAGACCAACCGGGGCACCGTGGCAAAACCGAATCGGTAAAAAAAAAAAAAAAAATAGCAGGTGTGGTGGTGGTGCACACCTGTAGCCCCAGCTACTAGGAAGGGTGAGGTGGGAGGAGCACTTGAGCCCAGGAGTTTGAGGCTGCAGTGAGCTATGATTGTGCCAGTGCACTCCAACCTGGGTGCCAGAGCAAGACAGCAAGACCCTATTCCCCTCACAAAACAAAACCAAATTAAAAAATAGATTCCTCTAATCTCACTGAAGTCTACACCATTTTGATCAACATCTCCCCTTCTCTCAATTCTACACTCGCCCTTCAGCCTCTGGTAACCACCATTCTACTCTCTGTTTCTATGCAATTGACCTTTTTAGATCTCAGAGACAAGTGAGATCATAATTCAAAATTTCTAAAATAATGAATTTTAAATGTTTCTGCTACAAAAACAAAGTTGGCCAGGTTATAGATATCTTAATAGCTTGATTTAATCCTTCTACAGCATATGCATATATCAAAACATCACATTGTACCTCATAAATATATACAATTATTATCTGTCAATAAAAATAAACCCAAAAATAATTATTTAGGAGTTGAAGATTTTCTTTGTTTTGTACTTTTTAATTTCAGTTTCACTGGACTTTATCCTCTCCCCTACGTAGAGAAAATTATAAAACACTCTGTTAACTATGAACATTTTTCTCTATAAATATAGGGTGAAGATAAAACATATATCTTTTAAAGAAACAATGTACATGATTCTCCCTTATGAGATAGCAGTAATCTTTTAAGAGATAGCAATCTTTTAAGATTGTAAGCATTCAGATAATTTTAAGATGCTTTGAGGAAACAGGGAAAATCTTGTTTAATAGAATTGCAACATTCAATGTTCTGCAGCAAATCATTTTCTCTTTTAATGATATTTATTTTTACCAAAACACAAGCAGGCTGTTTAATCTAGACATGACACCTCTTAAAATATTCCCTTCTCTTCAATTAAAAAAAAAAAATATATATATATATATCTTTTCCTTTAACAGTTCTTTGTACAGAACAATAATACTGCATCCCTGAACATTAGAAGAAAACAATTGGATAGACATGCACTGCTTTAAATATTTTGAGAAGCATCTTGAGCAAGTTCAGGCTTAGTCACTTTTTACACTTTTCTGACCTTCAAGTCAATGCTCAATATATAGCTAAGAAGTAGTCAAGAAAGAATAAATGAATACATAAGTTCCCCCATTTCGCTGGTTTTGGTGCCCACCATGAATCTCTCGAGAGGATTACATTGCTCTGGCATTCATTGCTGTTATGGAATTCCTCATGCTCTTCTCCCATTCTCTGCCCAGTTTATAGTTGTGGGTGAAATATCCTGTGAAAAAGAAGGAAGAGAATCGGCAATTATACAAAAAGCTGCAATGCAGTACATAGACTATCGTCACATAGAAGGAAAACTATTATATTTGTTAAAAATACAGAGAGAGAAAGATGGCTCTCAGTTTGAGTCTCATGTGTACCATTTCAGTTTTGCTACACTAGAAAATAAAATAAAAAAATTAAAAAGTAAACTACATAATTATTTTTCTCAAATGCCTTTGAGACGGCTAAATAAAATAATGAAAACCAAACTGATGAAGTCAGAATTGTAATTACTAGCATTTGGCATAAACACACTCTAAACCTCAGTTCCTTCAGATTTAGGATGGGAATAAAAATATTAACTACATTGTAAAGCACATATATATTGGCTATTATTATTAGCATTCAAAAATTCACATTTCTAACAAACCTTCCTTGTAACATCCTCAGAGAAATAAATGTTTGAAGCGAATAAAATACACAAACACACAAATATTCAATAGATGACTGAATCTACATAAGATAAAAACAGGTTTATCTTCTATGTGATTGCATATTTCTTTTTTTTAAATGAATTATTTTTTTTTAGCTTTTTTTTATTGCATTTTAGGTTTTGGGGTAAATGTGAAGAACATGCAAGATAGTCACATAGGTACACACGTGGCAGTGTGATTTGCTGCCTTTCTCCCTTTCACCTATATCTGGCATTTCTCCCCATGCTATCTCTCCCCAGCTCCCTATCCCCCACTGTCCCTCCCCTATTCCCCAGAACAGACCCAGTGTGTAGTGCTCCCCTCCCTGTGTCCATGTGTTCTCATTGTTCAACACCCACCTATGAGTGAGAACATGCAGTATTTCATTTTCTGTTTTTGTGTCAGTTAGCTGAGAATGATGGTCTCCAGGTTCATCCATGTCTCTACAAAGGACATGAACTCATTGTTTTTGATTGCTGCATAATATTCCATGGTATATATGTGTCACATTTTCCCTGTCCAGTCTATCATTGATGGGCATTTGGGTTGGTTCCAAGTCTTTGCTACTGTAAACAGTGCAGCAGTGAACATTCGTGTGCATGTGTCCTTATAGCAGAATGGTTTATAGTCCTTTGAATATATACCCAGTAGTGAAATTGCTGGGTCAAATGGAATTTCTATTTCTAGGTCCTTGAGGAATCGCCACACTGTCTTCCACAATGGGTGAACTAATTTACACTCCCACCAGCAGTGTAGAAGTGTTCTGATTTCTCCACATCCTCTCCAGCATCTGTTGTCTCCAGATTTTTTAATGATCGCCATTCTAATTGGCGTGAGATGCTATCTCAATGTAGTTTTGATTTGCATTTCTCTAATGACCAGTGATGATGAGCATTTTTCATATGTTTGTTGGCCTCACATATGTCTTCTTTTGTAAAGTGTCTGTTCATATCCTTTGCCCACTTTTGAATGGGCTTGCTTGTTTTGTTCTTGTAAATCTGTTTGAGTTCTTTGTAAATTTTGGATAACAGCCCTTTGTCAGATGGGTAAATTGCAAAAATTTTTTCCTATTCTGTTGGTTGCCGATTCACTCTAATGACTGTTTCTTTTGCCGTGCAGAAGCTGTGGAGTTTTATTAGGTCCCATTTGTCTATTTTGGCTTTTGTTGCCAATGCTTTTGGTGTTTTGTTCATGAAGTCCTTTTCTACTCCTATGTTCTGAATGGTTTTGCCTAGATCTTCTTCTAGGATTTTTATGGTGTTAGGTCTTATGTTTAAGTCTTTAATCCATCTGGAGTTCATTTTAGTGTAAGGTGTCAGGAAGGAGTCTAGTTTCTGCTTTCTGCACATAGCTAGCCAGTTTTCCCAACACCATTTATTAAACAGGGAATCCTTTCCCCATTGCTTGTTTTTGTCAGGTTTGTCAAAGATCGTATGGTTGTAGATATGTTGTGTTGCCTCCAAGGCCACTGTTCTGTTCCATAGGTCTATATCTCTGTTTTGGTACCAGTATCATGCTGTTTTGATTACTATAGCCTTGTAGTATAGTTTGAAGTCCGGTAGTGTGATGCTCCCCGCTGTGTTCTTTTTGCTTAGAATTGACTTGGCTATGTGGGCTCTCTTTTGGTTCCATATGAAGTTTAAGGTGGTTTTTTCCAGTTCTGTGAAGAAGGTCATTGGTAGCTTGATGGGGATAGCATTGAATCTGTAAATTACTTTGGGCACTATGGCCATTTTCATGATATTGATTCTTCCTAACCATGAACATGGAATGTTTCTCCATCTGTTTGTGTCCTGTCTTATTTTGTTGAGCAGTGGTTTGTAGTTCTCCTTGAAGAGGTCCTTTACATTCCTTTTTAATTGTATTCCTAGGTATTTTATTCTCTTTGTAGCAGTTGTGAATGGCAGTTCATTCTTGATTTGGCTCTCTTTAAGTCTGTTATTGATGTATAGGAATGCTTGTGATTTTTGCACATTGATTTTGTATCCTGAGACTTTGCTGAAGTTGCTTATCAGTTTCAGGAGTTTTTGGGTTGAGGCGATGGGGTCTTCTAGGTATACTATCATGTCGTCTGCAAATAGAGACAATTTGGCTTCCACCTTTCCTATTTGAATACCCTTTATTTCTTTTTCTTGCCTGATTGCTCTGGCTAGAACTTCCAGTACTATATTGAATAGGAGTGGTGAGAGAGGGCATCCTTGTCTAGTGCCAGATTTCAAAGGGAATGCTTCCAGCTTTTGCCCATTCAGTATGATAGCACATTTCTGTACAAAGAAAATACAGCTTTTTCGAAGAAACCCTAAACTTAAAGGAAAATTGTCTTGTATGAAAAATAAATCAAAAAATTCTTTGACTTTATTATTTTCTTTCCAATACACATACTTTCTCACTTGTATAACAAAAATAATAAATTGTCCATTTCAAGCCATTTTTGGAATTCTCAAAACTAACCCTAGTCTCTTCCCCAGCTTTTAGTAAAAACTCCACTTTTATAATTTCCATATACAATGCATTAACAGTGTGAGTCTCAGTTTTTCTCAGTTGATGATCAATAATTCTATTTGTCTATAATTGATTGTCAATCCCATTTCCTGAAGTAATGATCTCAACTTTTTTTTTTCAGATCTCCTTAGCCTTATATCTCCATTTGCTTTCTTTATTTTTGCAAAGAGCATTTATCATTTCAAAAATATGAGGCCACTGGATACATCTTTCACTCAATTTCCTCTTTCTCCCTCTTATTTCATCTTTTTTTATCTCAGATAGAAAAAAAACTATCATTTCTCTTTTTTACACTCACCTTTTCTCCACTGAGCTTGTTCTATTTTATTTACTTTCTCTGCAAATTCATTCCATCTACTATATTCTCTGTGTGACTTATTCGACATATTTATCTCTTCCACAAACCTGTAGCACATTAGTAACATTATAATAACAAATAACTTACCTCATTTTTTCCTATTATTCCTGCCACCATTTCAGTTTTTTACTTATATATTCATAGTATTCTTGATTCTGAGATTTGAAATACATGTCCTGCCTCCACATTTTGATGTTCCCTTTTTATTACATAACTACATAATTTATATATAATGAGACAGCATTATGAATCACTTAAAAACTTAATCCTATGGATTATTTTATTATCCTGCCTTTCAAGAACACACCTTGAGTGCTCCTGTTACCTACAAGAGTAACTATTGTATTCTACAGGTAAAGATAAGATCTAGCATTATTTTGATTTTCACATCCTCCTTACATAATTGAGCAGTCTGGCTCCTGGTTTAAAACCTGGGTGTGTATACATGTGCCATGTTTTCTATATCCAGTCAACCAGTGATGGACATTTAGGTTGATTCCACGTCTTTGCTGTTGCGAATAGTGCTGCAATGAACATAGATGTGCATTTGTCTTTAAGATAGAACCATTTATATTCCTTTGGGTATATCCTCAGTAATGAGAATACCTGGTTGAATGGTAGTTCTGTTTATAGGTTTTTAAGAAATCACCATATTGCTCTCCACAAAGGTTGGACTCATTTACATTCCCACCAACAATGTGTAAGTGTCCCTTTCTTCCACAACATCGTCAGGATCTGTTATTTTTTTGACTTTTTAATAATACTCATTCTGACTGGTATGAGATGGTATCTCATTGTGAGTTTATTTACTTAACAAACCTGCACATGTACCTCTGAACCTAAAGTAAAACTTAAAGAAAACAACAACAACAAAAACGTAGGTGTAATTTTTCAGGCCTGATATTAGGCAATGATGAAGGCTTTACTGCAGGGCCTCTCCTCAGGAAACCCTGCCCTCCCTCACCAGATATAAACATCCAGTGCACTGGACCCACTGGTAGGTCATGCTCTTTCACATATTTCCATACCTCTTTCATTTCTAGGTCTCTTTATCTGAGGTTTTGCACAAAATTATTTTCAGCTATCTCCCAAAGTCTACTAATAGGAGGAGGAGGAAGGAAAACTTGAGGACACTTTTCCCCAGTATTTACTACTTTTCTACTCCTATATCTACTCTTTCCCTACTCTCAACTCAGATTCCATAAAATTGCTGGAGTCTTTTGTTCATACTTCCTCAAAGGTGAGGCAACCTCCATGTCTGTGCTGACCCACTTGACCCTGGACCAGCCTCCCATTCCCTGAAGGAAACGGGGCAGGGGAGTTGGCATTTTTTCAGTTTTAAATCCTTGCATACGACATTGTAATATGTCAATTGGCTTGTGCTTTAATTGGCTATTCTAATACTTGGCTGCTCTCTCCCAGCTCAGACGAGCTCCTGATACCAATCACACATATATTGAGTACCGTCTTTGTGTTAAATCCAAAACTATTTTATCTTATTTTACATTCACACACTGCTACAGAACAAGCAAGGCGTTTCTATCCTATCAAGTTGTTCAACAGTTGGATCTACTCATTATCAAAACACTTGCAATGTCTTGCAAAGAGATCCACAACACCTGAAAAATTTTAGGAATATTTGAGGTCCTGCTTTTGACACTGAATCTGCTTCATTTCACTCTAATTGTAGTAATATGTAACCCATAATCCATGGGCAATGACCACAGCTTTGTTCAGCCTCATTTCATGGGTGAGAAGTCCTGTTGCAATTTCTTGCAATGCACCTCTGTAACATGTTAAGCATTTCTTATTGTTTTAATCATAAAGGTGTTAAGAAAAAACAATGACATATGTGGAGACAAAAGGAACATTTCATTTTCAAAAGCAATCTACAGATTGGGAATAAGTCATAGCCTTTGGTGCAAAGTGTGCTCTGAGGAGAGGTTGGAAAGTAGATTATTATAAAGGCAAAATGGCAGGATGGATAGGTGTGTCTGGGGGGGAGGGTATCAGGTACTGGGACTTGATTGGATGGTTTTTTTTGACATCACAAGTCTCTGTCCCTATTTTTTTTTTTTTTTTTTGACGGAGACTCACTCTGTTGCCCAGATTGGAGTGCAGTGGTGTGATCTCAGCTCACTGCAAATTCCGCCTCCTGGGTTCAAGCAATTCTCCTGCCTCAGCCTCCCAAGAAGCTGGGACTACAGTTGCATGTCACCACATCAGGCTAATTTTTTTGTATTTTTAATAGAGACAAGGTTTCCCCATGTAAGCCAGCATGGTCTCTATCTTCCGTCCTCCTGATCTGCCTGCCTCAACCTCCCAAAGTGCTGGGATTGTAGATATGAGCCACCGCGCCTAGCAGAAGTCTCCTTTTATTGACTGACCTTAGGTCATCTGTTGGTGCTCATTCGAAAAATTTCCAGCTACCGTCTATCTCAGCATGGAGAACAGGAACTGTTTCACTGGTTTTACTTGATTGCAGAGAAGGCATTTTTTATGCCATGCCTCAACTTAGCATGATTAGCTCTAAAAAAGAAGCAAAGCTACTTTACCTGAGGTCCGAACTTTTATAAACACTATTTTGGCTTTTCTTCCTTTTAAACCAAAAGTATATTTTCAAGCGATTCACGAAAATTGATAAGCCTCAACTAAGGTTATGGCAAACTAGTCATCTCTAAAGATGTGCAAAGCAGTCCACATAAGATCCAGAACCACCCTAAAGGCAGTTCAAAGAGAGAAAATTCTTCTTAGCCACAAATAGATTCTAACTCACATTGCTGTCCAGCCACATTTTCTAGTAAGTAAACTCTGTCTTTAAATTATAATGCTACACATTATTTTATATTCCCATATAGACTAAACTATATATACATATATACACACATATGTATATATAGGTAAATAGATGTGTTTATATATATATATATATGTAAAGGACTGTGGCTCTAATGTTCTTTGAGCTCAATAGTGAGTGTTGCTGCTTGAGATATTTGAGCAGTAACAGTATTAATAATAAGTTAACCTGCAAATATTCTTAGATCACTATGCTCATTAAAAGAAGCCAGACACAAAAGAATACATACATAATCTCACTTGTAGGAAGTGACAAAATAAAGCAAATCTGAAGAGGCAGAAAGTAGATTAGTGATCACCTAGGAAGAGGGATGAGAATGTAGAGTGACTCTAAGTGGGCACAAGATTTCTTTTTAAGGGTGATTGGAATGTTCTAAAATTAGATTCAGGTAGTATGTGATGATGTGTTATAGAATTCTATGAATATACCAAATTTATTGAGTCGTACATTTTAAATGGATAAATAAATTGCTGAAAATGATTAGGGAAAGTTTAGTTATAAATCTTTGATAGTAGATTGAAGATATCAGGCTCGTGAGTCTAAGATACAAAAATTAAAAACAAGACATTGGAAACTCTAAAGTAGTAAAAATAAAAATATGATAAAATTTAATATGTTCATTTGACAATATGATAAACTTTAATGTGTTTATTTCTAAAAGAGATACATAACATAATTTGAAATAGTTCTATAAAGTAATAATTCTAATCATAGTTTTTACCTTTTCTAAGTATAATTATTTTGCTAGAGAAATTTGATATAAAATAATGTGATATAAAAAAGGAATACTTTGTGCTTTAGGCTCAAAACACTGCTTCACTATTTACTGGCTGTATAAACTTGAACAATTTATTTAAATTTTCTACATTCCAGTTTCTTGACCTATAAAAAGAAAATAATATGCCCATCTCACAATGTTGAAATAAGCCCAAATGAGACAAGATAGCCCAAAACACATCACATCTTTTCTTGGAAATAGTAAGAATTTAGTAAGCAGTATACGGTCTGTCTGAAACATTTTGACAGCTACGAAAATAAAATTGGCTTTTTGGAGCCACATCGGTTTGTTTTATCTTTTCCCTCTAATAAATGCGGAGATAGATCTAATCCCCTTCTCCCATCTTTTATAATAATTTTCTCACTGTATGCTAAAAAATTGCCAGCATTGTTTTCTTAGTTAAAAAATAAATATAGTTATTCTGCCTTGTGAGGCTCAAGATGGCCTACCAGATTGAATATTAACACAAGGAGGGTTGGGCTTTGATGTTGTTGTGGCTGTTATTATTTAAGTTAGACTTACAGAAAGGATACAGCAATGTATCATATGAAAACTTGACTGTTATTTGAATTGTTCAATGCCTTCCACCAGCTGTTTGTGAATATGTTTGATGTAAGGACTCCGAGAGAAATCAAAAGTGCTGAGGCTCTCATTTCAAATTTTTGTTACTCTTGGGCAAAAAGGCACTACAGTTAATTTCAACCGTTGGCAGTAAACAACTTCAATATGATGATTATTAAGCAACAGTCATTCTAAGAAAGCTTTCTGGGTGACAGACCCTGTGGTGCCAGCAACTAATTGAAAAAACTAAAGCCACAGATACAAAGAAAGTGCAACTGAACCCTAAAGATTAATGAGGTACACAAATGCACTTCAGAAGAACAAAACTTCATAGCGTGTTTTACTATGTGTGAGTCTATTAACTATGTCATTAAATTTGAAAGCAAGCCATTAGGTAGTCTTTGTCCCTATATCTATATGTCTCTAAATGAAAACAAAAAAACATATTCAGTTGTAAAGTCTCAGAATATTCTAATGTGGAAAAGTGGTACTATTTTCCCTTGATGTTTCCACTGCTGTTTTTCTCATAAAAACCCGAAGAGATTTTGCAATACAGACATTAAATTGGTTCAGATATGGTAATGCTGCATTTCAATACTTTTTTATCTTTTGTGTATTCAGAAATACTAAAAGTCAAACACTTCTAAGCACTTTTTTTTTCTATTCCCACAACGATACGTTAAACTGTTTTGTGGTTTCTAGGCAAGGGAATATTGTGGCTGCTCCGTCATAGCCTTAGGCTCTGAATACTCTTAGTCCTTCAATTTTATCCTTCAAAATTGTTCAGACTGCCTCTGTGCTTTGTCGAGCAGCAGCACTTGACTCTGCCTTTCAGGCTCAATCACTTGAGCATCTCCAATAATTAGCAATTTCTAAACTTCTAAATAGTATGTTGCCTATGACGCATAATGCATACAGATCTTATTTTGGGTTATATATAAACACTTGTGCTGAGGCTTTTCCAAAGATTGCAATGAGCTAGAATCCAAAATCCAAGAAATAAGAAAATGAAAAAAAATTGGTAAGACTGTAATTTCGCGGGGAGTATGGATGTTATTGATTACGTATTATCCTAGCTCTAATTGACACACATTTGATAAATTGAAATGTTCTATATTTTATCATCATGGAGATTTTTTTCCTCTGAACATATTTCATGTTCACTTTTTGGAGTATTGTATTGGGGTAATATTTATTGTATTTTCCTTTAGAATACTGAGATTGTATGTATACCTTAGAATAAACATATTAGTTAGAGTTACAGTGGTTGTCCTTCAACATAAATGTGCACATTATGGTGGCAATCAAGACAATAACAAAGATGGATTATTTTTCAATACATCTTGAACTAGGAATTTTCAATCAACTGTCTTATTTGGCAAAGTCCCTAATTATACTTGTTTGGGTTGGGGAAATTACATCATCTGAACAAATTCAATCAGAGTTTTCTTTTGCGGGGTGGGGAGGGGATCTGGAATTGGATTGGGCGCAGAGGATAAAACCCAGTGGGATAGTTACCAGACACTACAACTGGCTCATTTATGTTTTTTTCTCTGTGCAAGAAAAACAAAAAAACAGAGTTATGGATAATGGGAGAAATGAAGCCGAGGAGAAAAATAAAATGCACAAGAAAAAAACAGTCTGGGTTCTGGGGTTTCTGATGATTTTCTGGTTTCTGTCATTTATTATACTCTGTTACATTTCAATTCGATGAGGTATTCAAGCATAGGTTTTCCTCCCTTACATTAGCTTTGGTTCTCTTATTTTTATTTTACAAAACTTTCACTGAAGCTAATATTTTGATTAACTGTACACATACATACATACACATGCACATACACACAGTCATGCATCACTCATGGAAGATAATACATTCTGAGAAATGTAGTTTTACACAATTTTGTCATTATATGAACATCCTAGAGTGCACTTCTGCAAACCTAGATGGTATAGCCTACTACACACCTAGGCTATATGGTATAGACTGTTCCCCTTAGGCTACAAATCTGTACAGCATGTTACTGCACTGAATACTATAGGTAATTGTAATGCAATGGTATTTGTCTATCTAACCATTAAAATGTACAATAAGGTATGGTATTTTAATTATAGGGGACCACCATGGTTTATACAGTCTGTAATTGAACAAAGCGTCATTATTCAGCACATGACTGTGCATGTGTATATATTGCTCCTATCATTTCAGCTAACTTAGCATTGTGCCCCAAAGTAGATTTTAGCTAATCAGTAAAAAGTAAAACTATGATAAAGACAACAGCCAACAAAACCAGAATGGTCAACACGCAGAGAATATATTCATCATTCATTTGCTAATGCATTTGAGATAGTGAATAAGTCCCTTACTACTTTTTGTGTGTTAGTTTTCTAAACTGTTCATGTAGATATTAAATCGTATAAGTTACCTGAATTTTGTTTAGCCTTGTCAGAAAGTCACATCGTGGTTTCTTCTTTTTTTTTTTTTTCTTGAGACAAAGTCTTGCTCTGTCGCTGGAGTGCAGTGCTCAGATCTCGGCTCACTACAACTTCCATCTCCCAGATTCAAGCAATTCTGCTGTCTCAGACTCCTGAGTAGCTGAGATTACAGGCACCCGCCACCATGCCCTGGTAATTTTTGTATTTTTAGTGGATACGGGGTTTCACCATGTCTGCCAGGCTGGTCTTGAACTCCTGACCTCAGGTGATCCACTGCCTCGGCCTCCCAAAATGCTGGGATAACAGGTATGAAACACGCACCCAGCTGTGGTTTCTTAAATATTACCTGAAGAGGCTAAATGGGGTAATAGAGAGTAAATTGGTGAGGCTCTTTTGCAATCAGATATCCTTGCATTTACACACACATACACACACATGTCAAACATGGATAGATAAATTTTATGGAATAAAAAAGTGTTCACTGCTTTAAAATAGTGTAAAAACCAATGCCTTTTAAGATCGAAATGTCTTCTGTTTTCAACTTTACATGATAAAGAGCATAGATGTAGAAATTCACAATACTTATATAACCCGAATGTTTGAAAGGAAAAGATTTGAAAAGCAAAACATAGGCCAATGGGCATCAGTAGGAGTTTTATATATGTAAATCTCTCCATATTGTTTAGGAGAAGGTTTGAAATTAGCAAGAGAAATGCAGGAATAGCTAGAGAGCTTATCTGAATCTTCAAAAAGTATAATCTATCTAAGACCTCTGATCAGGAGTAGTTTTAAAAATAAAACGTGTTCTTTTTCTTGATTTTTTTTTTTTACAAATAAAATGTAGAAGTTTTTCTGCCTGTGATAATGTATAATTACTTTTTTTTCCATAGGTCTTTGAGAGGCAACCAAAACAGTGGTAAATAAATGTCAAAGAGAGCATTTTGCAATTAAGATAGCAAATGCTTCTTATAAAATAATTGAATACTGAACAAATAGCAAAATGTCTTTTTTTCTTTCAAACTTCATACTATTAAAGATAGCTAATAAAACAATTAGGTAAATGAGAATAATATCAAACATTTAAAATAAGTTTTTCATTATCAAAGGAAAAAGAAAGATAATAGAACTGGAATCTCCAGAAATAAGTCCCTCCACAAAACAACAATTGAGCTGGCAAGAACTGTCTGAGCAACTATTTAACAATTCTTAAGCCTAGGCAAACATTGTACCATTTGGGGGTCTACCTGATGAATAAAGAGGCTGCTAAATTTGAGTGAATTTTGGCTTTTTGATCCCCATGGGGCAGTCAGCCATGAAGATGGTGGCCCATGTTTATTACAAGGCTGCTTGATGCCAGGGTGGACAACAGGCATTTTGTCCTCCAAAAATAAGGGTTGCTTATTTTATTCTCAATTTTTGATCACTGAGAACCCAGAACCATTGTTTACACCTCCATGAACTGAATTAGCTTCTTTGGAGGCATCAGTCTGAGGAATTTAAAGACACTGAGAAACCTTTTTTCATTTTTTAAATGGATATAGGTATTAAAGTAAAATCTCTGTCAGATCACTGGCTGACCATAGAAAAAAGGCACAGTTACCTCAGAGCCAAGGAATGTAGTTTTTGAAATAAAACAGTTGAAGAACATGTTTTAAATCAATGCAAAGAAACTAAGAACCTTGAAAAAAAAAAATTAAAAAACAAAACAAACAACAACAAAAAAACAGTTTAGAGAAGTCTGTAAATTAATGGAACAGTGAAGCCTTCAACAAATAACAATAGTAACTATTTTCAGAATTACCACATTACCATATTCAGAAGGTCATATAATAAACAAAACAATTACAAAGCATACAAAGAAACAAGACAGTAAAGCTTATCATGGGGGGAAAAAAAGAAATTTACAAATACCATGAGACAGCCTAGACATGGGTCTTTTAGACAAAGATTTCAACTGTCTTTAAAATGCTCACAAAACGAAAAAACAACTGTAGACAAAGAACTAAAGAAAATCAGGAGAATGACGTATGAACAAGTAGAAGAACATCAACAAAGAGAGACAAAGTAGAAAATATATCTAAATATAAATTCTTATGCTAAAAACCATAATAGCTAAAGAAAAAAAATATATCACATGAATTTAACAGCAGATTTGAACAGGAAGAAAATAGAATCAGTGGACTTGAAGACAGCATAATTAAAATTACCCGGTATGAGGAGCAGAAAGGATAAAGAATAAAGAAAAATGAACAGAGCCTAAGAAAACTACGAGACACATTAAGCATACCAACACATGCAGTATGGGAATCCCCCCCAACAACAACAAAAGTCACAAATAGAAGAAAGACAAGCAGAAAATAACTAAAATCTTTCTATTTTGATAACATGTATCTACATACCTAGTAAGCTCAATAAACTGCAAGAAGGATAAACTCAAATATCCATCTCAAGATACATTATATTCACAACATGGGAAGACAAAGACAAACAGAAATCCTCAGAGCAATGAGAAAGTAGTGACTCACCATGCGCAAAAGATCCTTAACAAGAGTCAAATTCTCATCAGAAATTATGGAGACCTCAGGCAGAAATTTGCATAAGACAATGGGAAAAATGTCTCCTGGGCATGTCAGAGACCTTCACAACAGCTCTTCCCATCACACTCCCAGAGGCCTACAAAGGAATTACGGTTTTGTGGGCCTGGCCCAAAGCCTCCGTGTTCTTTTCAGCCTAGGGACATAATTTTCTGTGTCCCAGCTGCCTCAGCTCCCCCTGTGACTAAAAGGCATAGCTTTTAGGGCCAAGGTGTAGCTAAAGCCATTGCTTCGGAAGCCGCAAACCCCAAGTGTTGGTGGCTTTCATGATGTGGTGTTGAGCCTATGGGTGTACAGAAGTCAAGAATTAAGGTTTGGAAATTTCTGCCTAGATTTTAGAGGATTTATGGTAATACCTGGATGTCCAGGAAGTTTGAAGTAGGTGTGGAGTCCTTCTGAAGAACTTCTGCCATGACAGTGTGAAAGGAAAATGTGGAGTTGAAGCTCCCACACAGAGTCTACACTAAGGCATTGACTAATGAGAAGAGGGCCATTGTCCTCCCAAGCGGGAGGTAGATCTGCCAACAGCTTGCTGTGTGCCTGGAAAAGCCCCAGACACTCATCACCTGCCCATGAAAGCAGCCAGAAGGGGGCAGCACCTGGCAAAGCCACAACGGCAGTTTCCCAAGGCTGTGGGTTCTCCTTTTACCTTCATAAACAGTATTATGATTGAAAGTTATTTGTCTATATTAATAACTAAAAAACAAAACTTCTAGTATTGCATGTAAACAAGACTAAAGGAGAGAGAGGTGGAATTGAGGGTAACAATATATTGTTCTCATAAAGACATAATTTTATAAGTACATCTTTGAATAAAAATCTTCTGAAACATAACACGAAAAATCTTATGACAATACTTTACTTATAAAACGTATATATTTAACCAAGGCGGGTGGATCACGAGGTCAAGAGATCAAGACCATCCTGGTCAACATGATGAAACCCCGTCTCTACTAAAAATACAAAAAATTAGCGGGGCATGGTGGCGCCTGCCTGTAATCCCAGCTACTCAGGAGGCTGAGGCAGGAGAATTGCCTGAACCCAGGAGGCAGAGGTTGCGGTGAGCCAAGATAGCGCCATTGCACTCCAGCCTGGGTAACAAGAGCAAAACTCCATCTCAAAAAAAAAAGTATATATTTAAAAATCAGGTCAAAATAATCAAAAGGTAATTTTGATTGGTGTCATTTGTATGCCTAAATTTGTTATATAACTTGCTACTGTCTCCTCTCTGCATCCCTGCATCTTTCGTTGTGGCAACAGAAAGCTGGGCTAGATAACTTGAAAATTACTTTATATTTTATCTTACAAAGCAAAAATAAAAACTAGCCACTACAACCAAACTGTTGGATGATATAAAGTTCAGAGAAATGGCCATTCACCTAATGGACCATTCAGCAAATTAGTGCAAATTGACCATTTACTGAACTAACTTGGCAAGAATAAATTTGGATCAATGAAACTTTTCCTACAGTCCCATAAACATAAACTTTTAACACTTCAGTGGGAAATAGTTAATAGGGCTGCATAGGAGTACTCCAAAATAAGACAGCCAATAAAAACGGTATAGTTGTTACAAGCCTCTATTCACTTAAACAAAGATTTGTAATATATAAGCCACATCCTGCAAACTAAAAGAACTACAAATAGGTGGTGACAGATTTTTAAAGTTCTCAATCAGAAACAGACAGATAAAACTGACAAAGCATTTTTTAAGGATTCATAGGATTTAAACAATTCAATAAATAAAATTTATCTAAAGTATATTTTAGAACCTTTCACCTGCAACATACTACAAAATTGAACATTAGTAAAATCAAGCCATGAACCAGTCCGTAAAATAAGATACACTATATGTAAGATATACAAGTCTGACTAAAAGTGCAATATAATTGAAAAGTGACTATTAAACAAAGCCTAAATAACATGGATTAATAGAAAATTATACTGAATTGTTTGAAGTACTTAGCAATGATTTGATAAAGAAAGCACTACATATAAACATGTATTACAGTATGTTAAACTTAAAAGAAATTTTAAATTATAATTTTAAATCTGCTTATAGAAATAACCAATAATATTTAAACTCAGTGTTTAAATCAAAAGCTATAAAGTAATAGCAGTATTAATCTAATAAAGTAATAATAACGATTAAAATGGAATAATATAGGGATTAAAATGTCAAATTATTTTAAGATACAACAAACAATGTAAAAACACAGTAGTACTGATGAAAAAATGAGTATAGGAAAAAATATTTAATATTTTAAGTAATATTTTCACATAGTAGCCAAAGGATAAACAGCCACAATTAGAAAAATAGTCGATAAAATATCTAAGTAAAAATCAACAGCATAATAAAAAAAAAAAAAACAGAAAAAGGAAAATGTTGAAAATCTATGGTTATTTTTTGAAAACCTTCCAAAAATAAGAACTTAGAAATCTGCTTGAGAGAGTAAGTAGTTGGTGATGAGCGACTGTGTTAAAGGAACTTCCTGGGTCAGCGAAGGGGCCCTGTTTCAAGCACAGGACTTTTCCGTGTTCTGGCCAACTAGGGGCTTTGTTTCCAGTTTTCCCGCCTCTGGCTCTTAGGGACTTTGTTCAAGGGCAGGGACTTTTCCCACCTCTGGCTCCTGGAAGCGGAGGTTCAGTGACTTAGGGTTTTAAAAAAGTAATCAATCTGGTAAAAATTCAAAGATCAATTAATCCAGAGAAAGTTTGAAAAAAACAAACAAACAAAAAACCCTCTCATTGGATGAAAACAAGAATAGGGAGGGAATAACTCAGGGGTAAAATCTCCAGCTGTTCAAGCCTGCAGCGGCACCCCCTCCGAGTCTCCTTCCACAGCGTGTAAGCTGGTCTTTTACTCTGCCTAATAAACTACACTACTGCACACTGTTTGGGTCCATGAGTCCTATTCGAGCTGTAACATTCACCGTGCCACCAAGGCTCTCTTCCCCATTCGTTGGGGTTCTGAGAGGCCAAGAACCTAAGTTCCAGAGAATCCGGTTGCAGCTAATCTGGTTACATAGTGAGCTCACATTGGAGTGCTGTTTTACACTGTGAAAACCCATACACATTAACTCTAATTTTAAATACATGTTAGACCCATTGTGGGTTAAATTAAACAAATTTATAAGAATAGCTTTTTGTGGAATTATATAAATTTGATTATAATTTAAGTATGCATTATTATGGTAATAGTCGAATACATTTTATATATTTATTTAGAAAACTTGTTTAGTGTTTAAAATATAAGAACTGAATCTAAATTTTTTTCTGGATAGTTTTCAAATGAATAGTATTTCATAACAAACAAGCTTACATATTATTTTTGAAATTTAACTAAATAATTAATACATTGTATAATTTATAGACATATAAGTATTAAACTACTTTAAAGGGCCGTGTAAATTCAAATTCATAAATGTGGTTAGCTTTCAGGATGAATGCAAAGGAACTAGATTATGAAGACAAAGTGTGGAAAATTTTTTTTTCCATAAAATATAACCTTAAAAAAGTAAAAAACATACAGCTAGGACGACGTAAAATTTGATTTACAACTGAATAAGCATGATTGCTTCAAGTAGAAAGGAAAATCAGCTGAATGCTTTTGCTATTGACCACTACACAGATTAAGCCTTATAAAAAGGAAACTTCTTGATACTGTTAATAGCAATTGTATACCCTTTTGCCTTGATAATTACTAGGTTTTTATGTTTAAGATATTTTTCTCCCCCACCAAAATAAGGGGAATCTGCATACCACCATTTTCCTTCCTTTAGTGAACAGCAACTGACTTCTGTTGCTTCCAACGCTTGCCCTCTGTCGAGGAACATGTAGTTCCTGCCCCCCTTTCCTAGGAACTACATTTATTCTACGGCCTGGTGACAGAATATGTAGGTATGTGTTTATTGCCGTGAATCAAAAGGAAAACTACCTGAGAAAAGTAGACAAATCTGAGACATAAATAGTAGTCCTTGTCCAGGATAGATGTTGAAACTCACACTACAAATGTCATAAAACTTACAAAGTGTAGGTGATTAGGCACTTCTGATAATGACTATGTTTGGTGCCATGCGTGTTCAGCAGCTTTACTTGTATGTAAATTATAGACTATGTCCAAGAAAAGTAGGGACCGTGTGTTTGTTTACCAATGCCTATTTTGTTTCTATCAGTCTGCTGAAGCAGCCTCCACTTCACATTTGTATTCCGTTCTATTCGATGTTGATTAATTCTATTACATCCTACACAAACAAATCAAAAAGAAAAAGAAGGAGGGAAAGGAGGAGGAGGAAAATAAGGAGGTAGAGTATAAGTGGAGAAAAGGCATTAAAGTGAATGAAGTTACACGGTACAAAATAAAGACATTAAAAGGCATTAAAGTAAATTGAATTACATGGTACAAGATAAAGACATTTGATTTGTTATTTGGGAACTCTATGGTTTTCCAGCAGTTTGTTCATAATTTTCTAATCAAGTAGGCCATGAGCCTGAGCCAAGATTGCAAGTAATCTCAGTAAATCTGAATGGATGAAACTGAAAAAAACATTAGGGAGTAATAAAGATAATGATAGGATGTGGAACCAGAGGAAGTTGCAATAGTTTACTTTCTTTTCTTAACGGGTTACATTACTGCACTAAGAATGCACCATATACATAAATCGATTGCTTTAATTTTTAAAAATTTGCAGTATTTACCATATGCAATACTATACTTTTTCTGACTGCATACATACCTAATTTCTACATTCTCATGAATTTTCATTTTACAAACTCAACTACCTTCTTTTTGCTTCACAGGGCATACTTCATTTGTCCTTTCAATTATTCTAAAAGTCCTATAGAATAATGCAATTATATTAAAAAATGAATAATATAGCTTAAAATCTAAAGTTTGTCGTTGGAAAAACTAGCAAGAGACACATAACAAGACAATTCTCAGTAGGTGATCAACTGAAT